TATATATATATATATATATATATATATATATATATATATATATATATATATATATATAGATCTGATAACATTTTCTTTCAATTTAAAATAAAAATACGGTCAAAGATTTTTTTTTCGTTCAGTAAAATGCACAGTTACAGTGGCGCTTAATGGCAGCACACTTCTCACTAATATATCGACGATGACTCAGAAAAACACTTATTTTAATTTTAAATATAAAAAGAAAACGTCAACAGTAGATAGCAGAAAAAATATCTAATTTGTAAGTGTACAGTCTAGATTTAGTGCTACTATAATAGACATTTACTCATTTTAAGAAAATGGTCATTAAAATTATTTGTTATAACTGAAACCTACAGACACAAATTGATCAAATGTGATAAAAGAAAATCCTTAAGATGCTCTCTTTACATTACACTGGGAAAAACACAACAAAAGCTGCATTAAAAACAGTGTTTCTGCCTGTAGTTTCTCATCTCAATGCGCAATGTTAAAACTAAAAAAGCTCTCTGTGACCATTTATCATTTATAGGAAAAGAAATAAATAAGAATATATTAAATACCAGCAAGCAGCAATCCTTCAGGCTCATTGATGTGAATGGGGAGGTAGGCGTATTCATTGTGGTGCCCTTCATATTGTTTGACACACCGCTTAACACGGATATCCCACAGCTTTATCTGTTCACAAACAACATGAAGGTAGAATGAAAATCTCTATGCGGTTATTAATTGCTCTGAAAGGTAATTAATAGGATGATATCGTGTCCATCATGGACAGACCTTGCCCAGCATGTCTGCGGCGAGCAGGTAGTTCTCATCTTGCAGCAGCTGGACAGAGGTGATAGCCGACTCCTGGTAGAAGCGGCTGGTCTTCCACCCGTGAAAACCCATGCGGCCTCTGTCTCTCTGACGCAGGTCAATGCTGAAGATCTCTCCTGAACGACAGCCGTTGAACAGCACCGGAGCCTGAAAAAACAAGGCATTTTTTTCACATTTTTCATGCATACGAGCAGAGCTTGCTTACATTATTATTTTTTTCATTAGGGAAAATGGAATTCTTAGTTAAATTACCATAGTTTCTGGTATACAACTTCTGGTAAACAATAATTCTAAAGGTTTTTGATTATGTAAATATGCTGCAACGTCTCTTTCAAAGTAAAATATATAATGCTTTCAACATACAAATCGTGTACAAATAGCCCCTCTTGGCATTAAAGCACGTTTTGTTTTTTCATAAATTTGTTTAATCTTGACAATTGTTAAAAAAAAAAAAAAAGTATTATAAACGAAAGTCACCATAATTTGTGGTATATAATTATTTTTATATATTTTTAACAGTTAATGCTTATTAAAATCCAATTTTAGGAAAAATAAAGGGAACAGTATGGTTTTAAAATGTAAAAGCACGCAATTCGTTATATATAATAAATAAAAAGTTTTACAGTTTGGAAATAAATCAGTTTTAAATTGATTTAAACTAATAATTTATTTATGGCTTTATTATCAGTACCAATGTATAAAGCCTCTTAAATCACTTGTGAATCTAATTTTATCATTATTCAAACCATTTGTAATACGTTTTATTTTTAAATAACCACATTTTTTCATTTGTTTACAAAAATAAAAATGTGAATTTTGAAATATGTTCGTTTTTTTAATCATGAGCCATACAACCATAATTTTTTTTTATTTCTTAAATAAAAATGAATCGCATTTTTTCATTCTCATACGAACACAAAATTATACAGAGTTCAGTTCTAGCTTTTGTTTAGTTTTTCCTGTTTTGTTCTCATATTGCGCTATTGGCATCAGAAACATACTCAATGAATTTTCATCGGAGACCAAGTTTTCTCCTTACCCTCAAGGCAAACTGTTGAGCCAGAACATCACTGTCAGCCAGGTATGTGGCTCTGCGTCCAGTCACGGCATCCGTCACAATCACTCTTCGAGAAAGACCTAGGTGTTCATACACAAAATAAGAAAAAAAAAATTAAATCCACAATATTACTGTTTTAATATATTTCAAGAATTTACACTTAGCTGATGATTGATAAAAAAGGGTATTTGGCATGCTGTCCCGGGAGAGAGCCCTGAGTTTAGAATATCCTTGAGCCGGGGCTCCCTCCTGTTTGAAGGGCGAGAGGAGAGTTTGAGCTCAGGTAGGTCTCGAGAACTCCCCTGCTTGTGAACTGCTGAGATAAATTTGACTAAGAGTAGTCTTAGCATGCTATTTTGAATTAGTCAATTTACTTATGGTGTATGTCTGTAAACAATGGGATGAAATCGGAAAACCTAGGGAAAACCCATGCGAACACGGGAAGAACATGCAAACTCCACACAGAAACACCGACCGGCTCGGAGAGGGCCGAACCAGCGGTGTTCTTGCTGAGACAAATGTGCTAACCACTGGGCTGCCATGCCGCCCTATCAGAGGAGGGGAGGAGTAGCGGTGGAAGGGGAGATTCTTCAAGATAAAGATGACTGGAGTAGGTAGCTCTGGTAATTTATAGTGTGTCAGTATTCGTCTGATTGGTGCAATATACTGAGCTAATGAGGTACCAGCTGTGTTCAATCATAAGCATGTGATCCTCTCGAAATTAGTTTATAAATAAACCAGCAATGACAAGCATAATTATCATTTCAATAGCATATACAGTACATGAATATTTTTTTTATTACCGGTGCTGAATGTTTTATCGGCCTGTGGGTTGAGGCACCATGCACATGACCAAGCTGTGGAGATCTTAAAACTACACAGCATACCTGGCTGATCTGAGGGGAAAAAAAGTCTAAAGTCATTTCAACTTCATCAAAAACAAAAATGTGGAGAGCAAAAAAGAAAAACATCCATACCGGGATTGAAGTTGCTGAAAAGAGAAGCAGGTAATAAGCTTACACAGCCAGGCGTCTGAGAAATGCCGACCAAACACAATCTGAAAACACTTGTCAAGAAACACTTCCTCACTGATAAATGTATAATATCTAAATATGTGACTATTGATGAGAAAGTGTCATTACTTGACTTATATTAATAAAAAATAAATATATTACAACAACATCTAAAAATGGAAGTTTAAATGGAGAAAGAGTACATTAAACAGTTCAGAAAGACACCCTAATCACGTTTATAGCCATAAGGTAGTTGAAAATACCCATGTTCAATTTGTGGAATTAATTTGATCAATTAATTTATCTATTTATGGAAATTTCTGAAATCTGCTACCTCATTAGTGCTTATCTACTAAAGAACTTAATTTCAACTTAATTTCAAGGATCTGAAATTATTGAAGGATACAGAACATGCGAGTCTGTATGTGTCACAGAGGCCCAGCATACAGAGTTCACCTGAAACAAAACAAATAGCATTTTTTCACTTCTACAAAACATATATTTTGTGTATGTGTGAAGAGGTTTCATTTTAAACCTACAGCTCACCTTGCGGTTTGTGAAATAAAGGTTATCGCACATCTCCACCGACAGAGAGCCTTTTCTACAACCATGGAAATTCATAATGCCATACTTGCATCCTCCATGTGACACGTCGTTCACTGTAAAAACCCGCTCACAGGCTGAATCTGCCTAACAAGATGCATCCAGAAAACAGGAAGCAGAGTTAGACTGAATCAAATCGAAGCCAAAACTTAATCTTCCTTCTGCTAGTTTTTTCAAAGAGCCGACAACCGGAGGCCAAAACCTCTAGCAACACCTGCCAGCAACCAACATGCACACATTTCCATGAAAACAAAGAGAAAGCCACAAATAGCTCAACTAGTCTGGAGATGCCTGTCATCAGCATAACATGCTGTTTTTTCCACTAAGAATGCATTTAAATGAACCGAGTTGCCTCAGCCTTGTTTTTCTTCCAAAGTTTCTTTTTTTTTCCAATGAATGAGAGGCTTACAACAATGAGATGGAAGTTGTCAGTGTTTGGACTGGTGGAATTGGAGCTCTGCACCTCCAGTCTGTGACGTTGCATCCCGCTGACTTTCAATTCATGGATCAGTCTGAAAAAAGGAGAATTTTTATTTTTGGGTTAAAAATAAATAAATAAATAAATAAAAATGTTATGCCATACCTTGAATAGGAGCTTGGGGGCAGCAGACCCAGATGTCTCTTCTGTAACAGCAATGCAGAGTTCAGCCCAGTCCTGGGAGATTTCTGAACATAATGGGGAAGACAAAAAAAAGAGAAAGTGAATCGCCTGCACATCTCGATAACAAATCAATACAATGATTTATTACCAACCAACCCCATTTGACTACAGAAGATATGCTTTTGCATAAAACATCAATGGAGGTCTCTCGAAGAACGTTGTTAGACTTGGAATTTGGTGAAAAACATGATGCAAGCACTAAGGAAATGTTTACATAAATTACATTTACAGACGCTATTGTTCAAAGCTGCTTAGATATGTTACTGTGAGAAGATTTAGTTCACACTAACATTGCAGTATAAGTAGTTTAAGGTATTTTAAAATAGTTTAAGGTATTATAATCAGCAGGAATATTGAAAAAAAAGAAAAAATATATATATACATATACTTATTTATATACACATACACACACATACATATATATATATATATATATATATATATATATATACATATATATACATATATATATATATATATATATATATATATATATATATATATATATATATATATATATATATATATATATATATATATATATATATATATATATATATATTTCTTTTTTTTTTTTTTTTACACATTTCTAAACAAAATACCAGATATGACACTAGTATTCAGCTTAAAGTGACATAAGTGGTTTTTCTGTAGACAATCGAAAAAAAAATATTACTTAAGGGGGCTGTTAATACTGACATTGTGTTCTTTGGAAGGTGTACTTGCATTATAATGCTATTATATTGTCATTCTGGCATTATATAATAAATAGCTTAAAATGACTATATATATATATATATATATATATATATATATATATATATATATATAGAGAGAGAGAGAGAGAGAGAGAGAGAGAGAGAGAGAGAGAGAGAGAGAGAGAGAGAGAGGGAGGGAGAATCTCAATATAATTTGGTGCAATATATCATACAACAAAAAATAGATATCATGACAGGCCTATTCATCCATACATAAACTTCAGCTGTTAGCAAGCAAACTGCACATCGGCGGTTTAGAAGTGCTAACAATAATGCACTTTTTACCACTACATTCTATGCTTCAACGTGCAGCATGCGAGATGAACTGAAACTAGCCGAATATTATAGTGGGGACTCTCCATAATGATAAATGTGACCTTCAGATGATGATTTCTCCTTTTTTTCCCCCTGAAGTGTCACTTTAGCTCTCTAACATGACATTTTCGGTGGCTGAAGTGCAGTGATGACATTTACCGTGATTGCGACAACAGCAGCATTTGTAAAATGTAAGGATTTGGGCGTATATGCACAAACAATAAGGTTTCTCAAATCCTTTAGGAGCAAATTGTGCCATCCGAGACGTATCGCACATGAAAAATACTATAGTCATTTGTAATAAAAACAAAATTGTTTTTAACCATATACTTGCATAAACATAATGTTATAATATTGAAAACTGGACTGGCACAGTTTCAATTTACTGTTATCCTCTATGTTAAGCTGCTTTGAAACAATCCAGATTAATTAAATATAATATTTACAACTCTTTGTTAATGAATGCTACGGCATACTATAGTATTAACTTTAGTGTAGTTTTAAAGTATTTGCTAACATGAACACAAAACAAGAGCTAATACATTAATTACAGTATTCACTCATCTTTGTTAACGTTAATTAATGAATACAGTTGTTCATTGTTAGCTCTCAGTGCATTAACTAATGTTAGCAAGCACAGCGTTGGGTTTTAATAGTAGTAAATGTTGAAATATGATTTACAAATGCAGGCATCGTTTGATCGTGTTAGTAACCTAAATACTTTAACTAATTACATGTCCCATATTGTAAAGTGTTACCACTACAGAATCTAACATTGGACAATTTTACAACAGTAAACTGCTGTTTATGGTTGTAAAATATACCCTATAATTATGAAAAATAATTAATATTTGCAGATTGTCTCAGGATACATCAATACAGCATAATGTTTATGTACAACATGGCAGGTTTAGAGTTAGAGTTGGGGTAGACGGTAAGGTAAACACCTTCCGTCCACAAGTGTGGACGACAACCTATTACCGTCTTTCCCAACTCCAACCCTAAACCCAACCATCACAGTAATGTAAAAACAGTAAATATACTGAGTAAATATATCTAGTATTATTCAGATTTTTATTAAACTACCCATAAAATAGTATTTAATTAAAGTCTACCCCTACCCAAACCCTAAACCCAACCCTCACAGCAGTGTAAAAATAATATTTATTCTGAGTATTGTTCATAATTTGTATTAAATGACCCATAAAGTTGTATTTAATTAAAGTCTACCCCTACCCAAACCCTAAACCTAACCCTCAATGTACGTTAGTGTAAAAAAAAAAAAAAAAATTTTAAATCTAACGTCAGTTAACTTCCGTCCACGGGTGTATCTCTTCTAGAAACCACCTATTACCATCTTCCCTTAACTCCAACCCTTAACCCGTCACAGTAATGTAAAAACAGTAAATAGACTGAGTATTATTCTTATTTTTTTATGAAATTACCTATAAAATTTGTGTTCAATTAACATCTACCCCTATCCAAACCCTAAACCCAACCCTTACAGCAGTGTAAAAATAATAATTATTGTTGCGTGTCACAAAAATTATGCTATATTGATTTGAGTATCCCCAGCTGTATTCCGTCTACACTTTACCACGGTAATAAAATACAATTAATGGGTAATTTAATAAATAATATAAACAAATCTAGTTAACTTCCGTCCACAGGTGTATCCCTTTTAGCAACAACCATTCATTCAAGTGCTTTACTATGTTATGGTTCAAAAACCAATAGAGTGTTTACTATAAATTATAGCTTTTTTCATGTGGGATGATTCAATTTTGATTTCCAGCAAAAGGGGGAGGATATCTTTTCCGTCTAGAGGTCATTTTGAGTTTTTCAGCATTTTTAAATTGAAATCGAATAACGTTATAGCTGAAGATGCCACGTGACTCACTTTGTTCGGGATGTCCAGAGAGCGTCAAAAGTAAACTTTCACCCAGTTGGAGATAAGATGATGAGCAGGGCTCCAGAACCCGAGCAGGATTGGAATGAAATGAGGCGTTCAAGTGTGCTGTGCGATATCTGTGCGGATCCGGCCTGACTGACAACGGCTTTATATTCCATCCAGCAGCAGCAACAGCGGCGGCGCCACAGCGACATCTATAGGCAGCCGGCGGCAGTACAGCGCTTCTTTGCAGGTGTGTTTTTAAAGTCAGTACAAACCGCAGGAGTTTCACAGCTGGATCTCAGAAGTGTCACGCCTGTGGCAGGCAGAGCACAACTGTGGTGTCATTTGATTGCTTATTCTGTGCTCCACGTTAGCCTAATTTCTAATGCTCCACGAGTTGTGATGCAATCAAAAGCCTGCTGCAGGAAACTCCGGTAAGCTCAAAGCTGGGAATGGATTGTCAGTAAGCTTGCAGTTTTTAAACTATAGTGACATGCAGGGATTTTTTTTTACTGGAGTAATTACAGTAAATTATGCATAATTACATGCAACTAAACTGAACCAACATTCTAACCATATAGCTAGTATGTGTTAGTAATGTACTCAGTAGTAAAAGCAACTACTACTAGCCAAGCTGGGAGCCCAGCCAAAACCAGCTATGTCCAGCTTAAACCAGGCTGGTCAAGCTGGTTTTAGCTGGATTTAGCTGGTCATTTTCCAGCCCGACCAGCTAAGACCAGGCTGAAAATGGCTGGAAACCAGCCTGGAAATAGCCAAAACCCCTCTAAAACCAGCCTGGTCAACCAGCTAAAACCAGCCAACCAGCCTAGGCTGGTTTAAGCTGGATTTTTCTGCAGGTACAGTTTAACAAACCACATTAAAAAAGTACTACAGTAATAGTATAGTAAACACTACATGTATAGTGTTTTTGAATGATAATATAGTAAAGTACTCTAATGAATCTGTTAATTGTAATTGTGTTGCTATGGTCACACAACAACTATTGTAATGTAATTAAATGACCTTTAGACTCTGATTTTTAACTATAGTAATTACAGTTAATTATGCATAATTACATGTGACTAAACCAAACCCACATCCTAACCCTAACCATTTAACAAGTATGTGTAAGTACTTAATGGCACTCAGTAGTTAAATTTATAGTCACACTTTAACAGCCCACATTAAAATACTACAGTAATTTATAGTAAATACTATATTATTTTTGAATCAATGTATAATAAATTACCCTAATTAATCTGTAGTGGTAATTGTGTTGCTATTGTCACACAACAACTATAGAAATATAAAGAAACAACCCAATATTGTAGCTTTTAAACTGCAGTGAAATGCAGGTTTTTTTACTATAGTAATAAGTTAACTATGCATAATTACATGCGACTAAACCAAACCCACCTTCTAATCCTAACCATTTAACAAGTGTAATTAATGTTACTCGTTAGTTAAATGAATAGTTACACTGTAATAACAACCAACATTAAAAAAACTACAGTAATTTATAGTAAATACTATAGTGTTTTTGAATCATACTATAGTAAAGTACCCTAATTAATCTGTTGTGGTAATTGTTTTGCTGTGGTCTCACAACTACTATAATATAAATAAATGACCCAATATTGTAGTTTTTAAACCACCGTGTATCATGCAGGGTTTTTTTTTTTTGTTTGTTTGTTTGTTTGTTTTTTACTATAATAATTACAGTTAATTATGCATAATAACATGCGATTAAACCAAACCCATATTTTAACCCTAACCATAGGATATAAATATTAATGTTACTCAGTAGTTAAATTAATAGTTAAACTTAATAACAACCCACATTAAAAACTGCTACTGTAATTTATAGTAAATACCATAGTGTTTTTGAATCATAATATAGTAAAGTACCCTAATTAATCTGTTGTGGTAATTGTATTGCAGTGGTCTCACAACAACTATAGTAATATAAATAAATGACCCAATATTGTGATTTTTAAACTATCGACTATGGTGACATGCAGGTTTGTTTGTTTTTACTATAGTAATTACCGTCAATTATGCATAATTACATGCAAATAAACCAAACCCACATTCTAATCCTAAC